GTTCGGTTATTTGTGCCCAGCCAGACTGCGGCATGAGCCACTGGGATTACAGGTGTCTATCACCATGCCAGGCCCCTTTTTATCTTTTAAGACAGGGTCTCACGAAGTTGCTCAGGGCCTTGCTAAGTTGCTGAAACTGGCTTTGAACTTGGGCATCTTCCTGCCTCAGCCTCCCAGGCTGCTGGAATTACAGGCATGTGCTATCAAGCCCAGCTCATTTATAAATATCTCTATAACCCTAAAAGTTAAGAACTCTTAAAAACTTAAGTATATGCCATATCATACTAAAAATTAATAAAATACAAAGAAAAGATTTTTTTAAAATAATAATTTCTTATGACCATCCAATATGTGATATTTTCTAAGTTTAATTATCATATTTCTATAGGTAGGTAGGTAAGTAGGCTTCTTTGACTTACAACCCAAATAAGGTTAATTTAATATATTGGAAGATTGTGGCTCTTAAGTCTTTAATATCTTGATAGCCCCTCCATCTTTTCTTATTTCCTCACAGTTTGGTGAAGAAACTTTTTACTGTACCGTATTTCACTGCATAATTGTAACATCCTGTTTTTTCAGTCCAAAAAATGTTTTATAACCCTTACTTGCATAATCTGGCATGATATGATTCTATTTGACATCTGCTTAAAAGGTAAACAGTGCAGCACTGTACTCACCAATGGCATATGGATGTACATTTGTCTTCTCCTACACTATGAGCCATGAACCTAGGATCTTAGCAGATGCACAATCTAAGTGTATTTCCAAAAGCTGACTTGGGTGGTTTAGAGCCTTGGAATACTACCTCTATTGTCACCCAACCTAATGAAGAGCTGTAGGCTCAAGCGGAGATAGGTGCAAAGGGAGCAGGTGGGCAGACGAAGCTGCCACGCCTAAGTTGCATGATATGGTAAGACTCAAACCTTCCCACAACGGCTAACTACATTTCTGTCTACCAGCAATACATTAATGTATGAAGCATTTCTTTCTGATTGTGGGTAAATAAAAAACTATTCTGCGGACTTCAAGCAGAAAGTGATTATGTTCACTAAACATCATGAAAACAGCTGAAGAAAGAGTTTTCAGGAGGAGAAAAGGTGTTTTTTGTTTTGTTTTTCACAAAAAGCTTCACATAATGGTTAAAATCCCACCCCCCCCTTTTTTTTTTTTTTTTTGGTAAAATAAAGTCTGTGACTATTACATGGTGAAATACAACAGTTTTCCATAGTCTGGTTTTGCTAGTTGCATCCTCAGAATTTCTTTTTTTTTAAATATTTATTTTTTAGTTGGACACAATATCTTTATTTTTACGTGGTGCTGAGGATTGAACCCAGGGCCTCTCACATGCTAGGTGAGCACTCTACCACTGAGCCACAACCCCAGCCCCAAGAATTTCTTTTAATGTATTTTTTAGTCTTCCTGTTATTTCCTGTAAATTGGTAGATCTGGTAGGTCCTGATCAGATTTTAGATATCTTTCTTTTTCTTTCTCTTTTCGTTTCATAGCTTTGATGAACAATAATTTTCAATTCTAAATATTGATGTATTATTTTTACTTCTGTTATTTCCTCTGTGGTGCTGGGGATCACACCCAGGACCTGGTGCATGCTAGGCACAAAAGCACTCTGCTCCTGAGCTACATCCCCATCACTGTTGTCTTTGAACTGTGAGTTTTTTGTAAGTTACTTCTTTGAATAATTGGGTTCATTCTAATTATCTTTTATTGATTTCTTGCTAAATTAAATTGTGGTCAGATAAGTTGTACCATTTAACTTGAGGCCTTTTAAGTTTGTTGAGTTTGTAGAACAGTCCAATATACATTAATTTCTGTGACTGTTTTTTGTGCCTGAAAAGAATGTGTACTCTAATGTTGGCTACTATGTAGACTATGCATTTTAACAGATCATAATTGTTAATTACATTGCTCAAATCTCTTGTATCCTTATTGGTCTCCTGATATAATTATGGATTTGTGTATTATTCCTTATTAGTTGTTCAATTTATTCCTTCTTATACTGTCAATTGTTATTCTTTGTATCTTTGGGCTATTTATTCAACAAATATTTATGAAGTGCTTCTCTGTGATAAGCATTGTTCTCGTTGCTATAGGAATATTTCAGTAAACAAAACAGACAAAATTTCCTGCTGTAAATTGAGAGAGACAGACAAGAACAAGATAAAGAATTACAATTTTAAAATTAAACTTCTTCCAAAATTGAACCTTTTAATATTACAAAGTGACCTAATTTAGTAATTTTTGAAAATCTCTTATGTGATATTAATATATATTAACAGCTTTCAATGAGTTACTGTTTGGTCTAATCAGATAATTTTCCTGTTTTTTAATTTGGGTATTTGTCTCATTGTTATTGAGGCATAAGCATTTTTATATCTTCTGGGTACAAGTTCTTTATCAGATACATGATTTTTAGATATTTTCTCCTATTCTGTGTGTTATAAATTCACACTTAAAATTTTTTTTTTAGTTGTAGATGGACACAATATCTTTATTTTATTTATTTATTTTTATGCGCTGCTGAGGATCAAACCCAGTGCCTCATACATGCTAGGCAAGCATTCTACCAATAAGCTGCAATCCCAGCCCTAAATTCACATTCTTGATGGTGCCCTCTGTACCACAAAATCTTTAGATTTTGATGAAGTCCAATTTATCTACTTATTTATTTTGTTTCTTTTGCTTTTGACATCGTAGCTATTCAACTTTAGTGTCATCTGAAGTTATGAAGACTTAACACTTATCTTTTCGTGTAAGAGTTTTAAATTTTACATCTTTCATTCATTTGAGTTAATTTTTGCATGTAGTATTATGCAGAAGTTCACCTTCCTTTTTTTTTACATGCAGGTATGCAGATGTTCCTGCATCATTTGTTGGAAAGATTAATCCTATTGAATTATCTTGGCAACCTTGAATTTTCCTATTCTGTTTCACTTAAAGTCATGTCCATTGGACAGATTTGGAGCTCCCTGTTCTTGTGATCTTCTCTCCCTGGGCAAAATTTGAGACCTTGCTGTGGAGCTGGTGTCAGGGTCAGTAGTTTGCAGGAGTGACCGTCCTGCTTTTTTAGAAAGGAACTGAGCAGGGATGAGAGCCTCTGATCTCTCAGTTTGCATCTTCTTATGTGAAACCTTCACCCTATGAGTGAGCTCAAGTGAATGTAATCAGGGTCCTCAGATTCTTATCCTCTTGTACTCGAGATGAAGCCTCTGCCCTGTGAGTGGAGCTGAGTGGAGGAAGAGAACTGTTGATCTCATGGCCAAATTTGCCAGGGATTTAGTCTCCAAGACTTGAATCTGGGGAGGATTTGAGCAATATGGACAGCCTATGCCTCGTTGTAAAATACCACATCTGTGACTAATGTGGAAGCCTCATTTTTCTGACCATACTATACTCACCTGTAGTGGAGTTTCTGTCAGACTGAGCTGCTGAGCTGTGGGGTGGGGAAGGAGTAGGTCATGGCTCAAGTGCCACAAACTCCTATTGTTAAAGATTCAGTATATTTTCTTAAATATTTCATCATTTGTTATATGTTCTTAGGAAAATCTCCAAGGACTTGGGATGTTTTGTTTTTTTACATTTTTAGCAGTTATCAAATTAAAGCAAGACTGCCCAGCCCCTAATGCTACAGAAGTAGTACCTTATAAGACCTCTCTTTCTTTTACCTTTTTTGGTACTAGGGATTGAAGCTAGGGGTGATATAACACTAACTACATTCCTAGCCTTTTATTGATTGATTGATTGATTGATTTTCATTTTGAAATAGTGTCTCATTAAACTGCCCAGGCTGGCCTCAAACTTTCCTTTCCCCTGCCTCAGTCCCCCAGCCACTGAGATTATAGGCATGTACCACCATATCCACCCTAGCATGGCCATTGTAATTTTTAAAATAAATATTAAAAGAAAGAGCAGGGCAGGCAGTATCACATAGCTATAATCCCATTGATTCAGAAGGCTGAGGCAGGTGGATTGCAAGTCTGGGTCAGCCTCAGCAACTTAGCAAGGCCCTGTCTCAAGAAAAAAAGTGTGTGTGGGGGTGCAGTCTGGGATGTATCTTAGTGTTAAAGCACCGCTGGGTTCAATCCCTAGTATGGCTAGATGGATGGATAGACAAACAGGTAGATAGTGCTGAGGATGTGGCTCAGTGATAGATAGCTCCTGGGTTCAATCCCCAGCTCCCCCTCATCATGTAAACACAAATTACAATAATGTGTGCTTAATTTATTAAAGGCCAACATTAATCAGTATCTTCACTCTTTTTTTTGGCGGCGGGGGGGACTACTAGGGATTTAACCCAGAAGCACTTTATCAATAAGCTACATCTCCAGCCCCTTTTTATTTTTTTATTTTGAGACAGGGTCTCCCTAAGTTGCTTAGGACCTTGATAAATTGCTGAGGCTGGCCTTGAACTTGCAATTCTCCTGCCTTAGCCTCCTGAATTGCTGGGTTTGTTGGCATGTGCCATTGAGCCAAATTCTTCACTGTCTTTCTGAATGATAATTAGGACCTTAGAACTGTTTGAAGTTGTTTTTTACCATAAACAACTTGTACTTATTTCTAAATAAATGTGTGTGTGTGTGTGAGAGAGTGTGTGTGTGTGTATACATATATATATGTGTATGTGTGTGTGTGTGTATATATATATATATATTCATAAAAAATATAAGTAAAAAAACAAAAATTGGCTGGTTACCTACAATTAAGCTGCCTGAGTTTGGTTCCTATTTTACCATTTACGAGCCAGTCAAGCTGAACAAGTTTCTTCCTCACATCAAATCTGTTTCTTAAGCCACAAAGTTGATACTAATACCGGCCTTGTTGGGTTTTTATGACAATCAAATGAGCTAATCTATGTAATGTGTCATATACACAGTGTATGCACAGTGCCTGACACATAATAAGCATATAATAAAAGATAGCTACTCCAAGGACTAAAGCCATTTATTGGCAGTAATTACAATATATTTTCCATTCTGTCCTGGCAGTTCCTTTGTGATGAGGGTGCAAGTATCTCTGGGGACTACATTGATCGTGTGGATGAGCCCTTGTCCTGCTCTTATGTGCTAACTATTCGGACTCCTCGGCTCTGCCCCCACCCTCTCCTCCGTCCTCCACCCAGTGCTGCTCCTCAGGCCATTCTCTGTCACCCCTCCCTGCAGCCTGAGGAGTACATGGCCTACCTTCAGAGGCAAGCTGGTGAGTGATTGGAAGAGGAAGGAGAGATGTAGGGAGGTTCAGGTGTAAGATAAGAATGTGTCCCTATCCTGTTGCATGTTGTTTCTTGGTAGAGTCAAAGCAGTATGACGACAAAATCACAGAGGAGCTCCAAGACCTGGACCCCCAAATGTGGAGTGAGACCAAGTCTGAGGCAGTGCCTCCAAAGAAAGCAGGTAAGACCTGATTTTACTTGTTCCATGAAACTGACCTCTACTGCTTCCTTTCCTCTAATCTTACTGGTCTGTACTGACTGATTAGGCTGGGCTGAAGGATTGTCATGGGTTCTCACCTTTTGGCAATTGAGGAGGCAGCATACCCCATCCTATTTTCTCCTTTCCTTTTTCTCCTCCTTCTAGATTCCCTTCTGTTCTCTGTTTCCCAGGTGCAAGCCCAACCAAGGATGACAGTAAGGAATCTGATTTTTGGAAGATGCTTCATCAACCAGAGGACCCGGTTCCAGGAGGAGAAGAGGTACAAGCAGAGGTGAGAACCATCTTCCCATGTACTTCTTTTATGAGCTTGGATCTGGGCTTTGGGATGGGGAGGTCACTATGAGGTGACCTACATATGTTCAGGGATGTAAGGATAGCCTCAGAACCATTTCCTGAAGAGCATGCTAGGCATAAACAAGCTTTTGTGATTGAATCAGCTCTTTTCTCCTAATTAGGAGCAAGACCTGAACCTTGAGGCTGCAGTGGATCCAGCTCCAGGCCCTCCTGATGGTGAATCAACCCTCTCTTTCTCTTTTACAGCTTATGCTTGAGTGTAATGTAGGATTAACAGGACTGGGGGTGGGGAGAGCAGAGGTATAGCTAACCCCTGGGAGGGAGGTTAGACAGGCCAGCAGGAAAAAAAATTTTTTTGTGTGTGTGTTGGTTGCTAAACAGATGTTCTATCACTGAGCTACATCCAGCCCCAGGGAATTCACTTGTACCTGAGTTAGTACTCATTATGGACAGCAACACTGTTTGAGGGAGATAGCAAAGCTCAGAGGCTCCACCACTCGTTGACTTTGACCTGGATCTTTAATTCATAATAGAATGCCTAGAACTGAACAGATAATGAATGGTTAATATTTGTGGAAAGGGGAGAGAGAAGGTCCAGAGAAGAAGAGCCTTTAGCCCCAGAATTTCTTCTGTAGTCCCAAAAGCCAGAGTTTGCAAAGAAAGGGACTCAGAAGTTTGTGGAAGACCTGGAGACTTAGCACCTTGTAGTATCCATCTCCCTGTTAGAGCCCATCTTAAGCCAGTACTCCTTGTAGGATGTGTTTGCCCCATCTCAGCTCTCAGACAGATACCATGCCCCTCTCTTTGGTCTCTCATTGACTCTCCTAAGGAATCAGAATTTAAAACACAAGTCCATACCTATTCTCTCATCTCAGATTTTCAGAACAACGTACAGGTCAAAGTTATTCGGAGTCCTGCAGACTTGATTCGATTGATAGAAGAGCTGAAAGGTGGAACAAAAAAGGTATGGTACCTGCTTGGGGGAGGGGTGGTCATACCTTTTGGTTGGGAGCATTTAAAGACACCCCTTTCCTGTAATCTGAACTGAATTGACAGAGCTGACTCCTGTATTTGACTCTGAGTCCCCCCCATACACCCCACCACTGCCTGTCTATCCCCTATGATTTGCTACTAGAACACCAAAACTGTTTTTCTTTCTTTCTACCCAGGGAAAGCCAAATGCTGGCCAAGAGCAGCCTGGAGATGATGCTATGGAAGCCCCTCAACAGGAACCTGTAGTGAAGGGAAAGGGTGACACAGAACGTCAGGGTGAGGCAGAAGAAGAGGACAATGATGAAGATGAGGATGAGGATGAACGTCAATTACTGGGAGAATTTGAGAAGGAACTGGAAGGGATATTGCTCCCATCAGACCGAGAGCGGTTCCGTTCAGAGGTGAAGGCTGGCATGGAACGGGAGCTGGAGAATATCATCCAGGAGGCAAGTCCAGCTCTTATTCCTGAGGCTCCCACAGTTGCCAGCTCCTATGGGGCAGGATGGTACAGCACCGAGCACAGCTCAGGTCATGGCACAGGGCACTTCAACATGATGGTTGTTTACTTAATTAAAAGGGGGTGATAGGGAAGAGACAATAGAGAAAGGGATAAGACCCAGTTATTAGAATCCTGCAGAGAAAAGCAAACCCACTGTCCTCAACTCCCCAGGCCCTTGACTCTCTGCCCTGTCTTGGGCATTTCAGACAGAAAAGGAGCTGGACCCAGATGGGCTGAAGAAGGAGTCGGAGCGTGATCGGGCAATGCTGGCTCTGACATCCACACTTAACAAACTCATCAAAAAGCTGGAGGAAAAACAGAGTCCAGAGCTGGTGAAAAAGTACAAGAAAAAGAGAGTTGTCCCCAAAAAGCCTCCACCCTCACCCCACCCTACAGGTGAGAGCTGTCAGATAAGAAGGAGCAGCTGGGTTTGCTGTCTCTATCCCTCAGCTGGTGCTGTTCCTGGAGGGCACCGTGTTCTTTCCCTTCTGAGAGTGCACATTCTCTTCCTGATTTCTAGAACACTTCTTACCACTGTCTTCCCTTTGCATGACCTCCTAGTCATGCTTTTGGAAAGCAGCCTTTAAGTATGTCTGTCTTGATTTCTGGTTTGCTTTCTGTGCATCCAGAGCCTACCACTCTGGCTGGCTCATAGATATAATCTGATTGGCCATGAGCATAAATGCTGAAAACCACAATCTGTGAAGTCTGTCAACTTTAGGACTTTGCACTGGGAGAGTCCCCAGCTGTCAGGGTATGAATAGGCAAGCCCAGTGGCACATAAGCCACCAGGCTGTACAAAACTTTTTAAAGTTTTTCTTTCTTGTATCCCCTTGTGTTCATGCCACAGGGGAATTCCATAGATGTGGAGATCAGACATTCCAGATGGAACATTCTAGTTTCAGACCTTCCTCATTCTTTCTGTAAACATTGAAAGGTCTGTAAAGTTCCAGAATGTGGAGACCCAAACTACATTTTTCCAGCCTGCTCCTTAAAACAAAACTTCTTTGTTGGTGCAGGCAGCCTGATATTTGCTTTCAGAAAACAGACATTTTCCTGTAGATGATGAGCAGAATTACTGGCTGGGATGGGAAGAAACAATGCTATAGTGATGGCCAGGGTGGGGATGTGGGGGACGGCTTTTTTTTTTTTTTTTTGAGCCCTGGCTCACTTACATGTTGACATATATAGCCACCAAAACCAATTCACGGCTTAGGAAGAGGTGACCACCCTAGCCCCTAACCCTGGAGTCACGGCTCTGCTTTGTGTCTCCCTGTGTGTCTCCCCCTCTAAGAGGAGGATCCTGAGCACAGAGTCCGGGTCCGGGTCACCAAGCTCCGTCACGGAGGCCCCAATCAGGATCTGACTGTCCTCGAGATGAAACGGGAAAACCCACAACTGAAACAAATCGAGGGGCTGGTGAAAGAACTGCTGGAGAGGGAGGGACTCACAGCTGAAGGTGGGCCCTGGAGGGCGGGCTGATTAAGAGCTGTTGGAAGGGCTTGCCGCTGAAGTGGAGGGGCTGGGTCAAGGTGGACTGGAAACTTCAGCTGGGAACCTGGGGGCAGGGGACCTGCCCTTAGGCTCCCAGCCTTCCCTCCTCATTACCCATACTGCTGCTCTACAGGGAAAATTGAGATCAAAATTGTCCGCCCTGGGGCTGAAGGGACTGAGGAGGATGCACGTTGGCTAACTGATGAGGACACGAAAAACCTCAAGGAGATTTTCTTCAATATTTTGGTGAGGCATCCTACCCCAAAGTCCCCAACTCCAGCCTTCCCTCTTCTAGCACATTGTGCTGCTGGGAGTATGGTTTAGAGTCACAATGGCATGTCCCAGCCTTGCCCCATGCTGAACTGTGGTCTGTAAGACTGTAAAGCAAAGCTAATGTTCTGGCTGAGTATGGGCTGCCTGCCATTCAGGAAGAGCCCCTTAGGAATCTGTGTTCCTAGTCCCTGCCTTCACCACTCCCAGTCTCAGTACCTCTCTGGATCCTGAAACACCCAGCACTTCCCTTAGCCCCCAGACAGCATCTCCTGCTCACCCCTATCCTCCCACCAGGTGCAGGGAGCTGAAGAAGCCCACAAAGAGCGCCAGCGGCAAAAAGAACTGGAGAGCAACTATCGCCGAGTGTGGGGCTCTCAAGATGGAGAAGGCACAGGGGACCTGGATGAGTTTGACTTCTGAAACTACCACAACAAGACCCTCCAAAGAGTACAGAGTCTTCCTGAATGGCCCTGCCTCCTCCTCATCTCCCACCCCTGGGGCCCTGAAGGCAAAATGGTGAAGAGGAGCTGAGCTGTAGGCATCTGAGCCCCCAGCTCTAGGGTGTGGAGGGCATGGGGTGAGTTCTGCTGGAGCTACCCAGCTGCCTCACACCTCATCGGGCTTGGGATTTTGCTCTCCCAGGCTCCCCCATATGCTCTTTCTTTCTTCCTCAGCTTTCCTTGCTATTATCCCCCAACTTGTTGGTTTTTTCTTCCTCCTACCTAGAGATTCAGTGAGATCTTTTGAACTAGCAGGGCGTTTAGCAGGCTCCAAGAAAGTGGCTGCCCACCCCTGCCCTGTTGCTGTGTGGAGTTGTTTTACCCCCCATCTCTTGGATTGACTTGGGATTTCCTTCTCCCTTTCCCTGTTCCCACTGTCCTCTACAATCTGCAATTCTGAGTCGAGGATCCTTCACCTCTGTTGCTGAGGAAATGGGAGACCATTGCACATACCTCAGACACAGTCCCAGCAAAGAGGGTGGGGTGCAGACCCACCCGCTATGTTCTTCAACAATCAGGTTTCTAAATAAAGAACTGGACCATCAGTCCATCAGCCTTTTTGGGGGATGGGAGGGGGTAGGTGGAGGGTGCTCTCATAGGGAGGCTTGCTGTTCTTTTCAGACCAGAGGGCACACATCCCAGGTGGTATCATCAGTGAGCGTGGTATACATACACACAGACCACGACAAAGCCACCTGGCAGGGAGCTAAAGACCTATAATACTGTTCTCTCTCCATATCTTCATCTGTTGTTTCTTCCCTTTTTATTTTTTTAAACTTCTGCCTTGCTGGGCCTTTAATCCAGAGCCTTGCACATGCTACCACTAAGCTGTACTTCCAGCTCACTTCCCTCCCTTCCTTAGCACCAACTCCTTCCTTATCTTCTCCCCCTTGACATCATGTACCATATGCACACTGTGGAGTTGTACCCCTGACCCCAGACCTGGACATCTTCCTTTTGCTGAGCTCTTTCCCTGCAGCATATTCCAGGTTCCATTTGCCAGCCACACCCCATACTCCTCATGGCTGTTCCCCAGAGGGGAAAAATAGTGAAATGACTTGTTCAAGGCCCACTTTTAGGAAATAGAAGAGTGAAGACTTGAACTTAATGCTCTGCCTATAAGCCATTTCCAAGGCAGATTTTTTTAAATATCATTTTTTATTTTTGTTTATTTTTTATGTGGTGATGGGGATTGAACTCGGGGCCTCATGCTTGGTAGGCAGGTGCTTTACCGCTGAGCTATCTCCCCAGCCCCCAAGGCAGTTGTTTGTTGTTGAAACCAAAAAACATCAACCTTTTTTTTCCAGAGAGGGCTGACACTCATGCATGCCTGCTTCTTAATATGCCAAGGGTAGGTGGGCCTGCCAAGTGTAGGTATGGATCCCCCCACATTCCTTCTTCCTTCTCCAAGGGCAGAGACTCTCCTGTTGCTCCACAGCTCAGAGGTGTACAGCCTTCCTGCTGAAGTCTCCACTGGCTTACAAGATAAGGAAAGGGACAGAAGACACAGAATGTCTTCAAAAGTGAGAGGGTAGGGATTCAGTTGTTGAAGGAAGTTTCATATGGACTAGTGGTTATTGTGTGCATTATGCTTAAATTGTTTTGTTTTTAAATGTAAGTGGGTAGATTTATAAATCCTGCTTCCTGAGATTCATGTGTGTATCTTGAGAGGGGTGCTTCAGCTGGGCAAGAATTTAGAAACTGTCCTTTGGAGCCAGGCCTAATGGCTTACACCTTTAATTCCAGTTACTTAGGATGCTGAGGCAGAAGGATCATGAGTTCAAGGCCAGCCTCTGCAATGTAGCTAGAACTGTCTCAACAAAAAAGAAATGCCTTGGGAATGGCTTATAGACAGAGCACTAAGTTCAAATCATTACTCTTCTATCTCCGTAAGTGGGCCTTGAACACGTCATTTCACCATTTTTTTTATACCGAGGATTGAACCCAGAGGTGTTTTACCACTGAGCCACACTTCCAGCCCTTTTAATTTTATATTTAAAATTTTTTTTACTTGTAGATGGACACAATACCTTTATTTTGTTTATTTTTATGTGGTGTTGAGGATCGAACCCAGTGCCTCACATATGCTAGGCAAGCACTCTACCATTGAGCTACAAGCCTCCTTTTTATTTTTTGTTTTGAGACAGGGTCTCACTAAGTTGTTTAGGGTCTTGCTAAACTGCTGAGGGAGTTTGGCTTTGAACTTGCCATTCTCCTGTCTTGGCTTCCTGAGCCGCTGGGATTAGACGTGTGCATCATTTCATTTTTCAAATTGTGTTTCCTCATTGGTACGCTGTGGCTAGAAGTATCACTGGCCCTACTGTTCATGCCCTTCACACAGGATCTGTCCATAGTAACTTATAAACCAGCTTCCAAGTTCACAAGATATAGAGTATTTGTAGAGGAGAGTCTTAAAAGGAATTCCAAAAGTTGATCAGATGCTACAGTAGAATCTTTAAGAATGGGAAAGGTGAGATGCTGGGACAGGAGGTTATCTTTGGTTTGACGGGGATGGAGTCCTAGCAAGATCAGAAAACTGAATTCTGGAAACATCACTGTATTTAATCATTTTGTACTTTCAATAATAAATTCCTTTTTACTTCCTTTGGCTTTTGGCAAAACTCCCATGGAAGTCAGTCTGCCCCAGCTGTGCTAAGGCAAACAGAAGGAAGGGAACAGGGTGTGTGTCAGATGGCTTCTTGGAGGGGATGAGGAGTGGGTTGAGGGATGGCAACAGGAACCCAAGCAAGGAAACCCATGGTGAGCTGTGAGGCACACAGACATAAAGGGGCAGCAGCAACTCTCCTTCACCCACCTAGGGCGTCCCCTTCTAGAGTCTTATTATGCCATAACCTAGAAGGTTTAATTTTTTTGTCACCTCCATCTATCTCTCCTCAAGACCAAAAATACAGGACATTAAAAAAAAAAAAAAAAGAGGGTCAGGTGGATTATTTGTTGGTGGGATCTGCTGTGCAGTTTGCCAACACCTCAACCATTTTTGCTGTCTAGAAATAAAAGGACCTTCCCTTTGGCCTGTGGTTCCCTTTGCAGGTAGCTTTATTCTCTTGGGGTTCTTGTTTCCTCCCTGTACTCACACTCAGAGTTTTTTAGGAAGTGAGTGAGCTTTAGCCATGATGAAGGAAGGTGAAGATGAAGTAAGGGAGTTCAGGTCTGAGCTAAGGGACAAATGACCAGGTCCTCTAGGAGGACCATCTTCCTCTCACTTCACCCAGACCACACACCTGTCCCTGTCCCTGCATCACTGAATCTACCTCTCTGTGGTCCTTGGTGATCATCCATGCTACACAGCAGAAGGCAGCATGTGAGTTGGACCTGGGCCTGGCACTGCAATTATACTTCATCAGCTTGCTGGAATATCTATAGCTGAGGGCTGAGAGGCACCATAAGTTGGAACTACCCTACCCAAAGATACTGGTGCGACCAACGTGTGATGGAATGCAACATGTGGCATCTGTGTCCAACCTGCACCAGTTAGTGGCCTACAGCACCACCCTGCCCAGCCTCTCCATCAGGGCAGATGCTTTCAGCTATATACAGGAAATGGTGGAACTGGCTACTGAGGCGGTACAGCAGCTCCAGCAACTGTGATAAGGGTGGCCCCACTGATGACACAGGTGGGCAAATGCATCAGCTAGTATGGAGTTTATGGACATCAGGGACCTACAACTGGCTGGGAAATCATTCCCAGATCTTTCAACCCTGCTCTCCCTAGCACCCCCTGACTGGGGCCAGGAACAGGATCCCTATTATTAGCTCTACTCTAGTACTTGGTACTCAAGGTGAGTAGGCTGGCGTAGGGCAGTCCTCCAGGGCTAGAGCGCCTACCAGGTGTCTTCTGAATGGATTTCTCAGATCACAAATAAATAGATGCCTCCAAGGTCAACTGCCTCAGGTCCCCTAGTTAGGGAATGGAGGGTCAGGTTTCAAAATCAGATCTGTTCCTACTCTTAACCAGGGTGACCACGTCATTTCACCACACACCCACCACCTACCACAGCCTTATCTGTTCCTCCAAGCATCACATTCGAACTCTTCCAGAACTGGTATCATCTTCTAAATGTGACTTCTTTGCTTCCAAGTTCCCCACAGTTCTTTCCACTGCATGAACCCAGGACTGTTGTACAAGAGGGAACCACCTCCATGCCCATTGGTACTTCCCTGCTTCAGGTCAGTTGGAGGGACTTCTGCCTGGCCCTTTCCCACCTCCAGTTCTGGGCCTTCACCAAGGCCGTACCCTGACTTGTCTCTTCAAGAACAGACCAGCAGCTCACCCCCTAGACAAAATCACTTCCTCTTTAATTGCCGTTGAAGTTTCACACCACCTGCCTCAGAGGAGATGAGGGGGGCATCCCTTGCTCCCCCACCCCCGCTCCCTCCCCAATTACCTGGTCTTTTGCAAATTATTTTAGCCAGGAAAAAAAAAAAAAAAAAGACCGGAAACCACTGACACAGACAGCCCAAGAACTGGGTTGATTGAGGGAGGCAGGGCTCAGGTTAAGTTCACCCCACCACCCCCATTCTGGGGATGGGGCGGGGGCCTGGAAATCCAACCACTGCACATCCTCTCAGCCCTGGCTGGAAGAGAGCACTGGGGTGAGGGACAGGTCTGGAGCTGCTCCAGTGGGAGGGAGGGGCTGGACAGAAAGAAATAATGGGGGAGGGGTCCCATTTCAGGGGTGCCCCCTACCCCAGATCACCATGGGCGCTGCACAGTCACAGGTACGCAGTCACAGGCACAGACACAACCCGAGAGCACCCCCACCCCACCCCACCCCCTGCCCACCCTTGGCTCCCCCTACCCCAGAACGCCCTCCCCACGCCCATGCCCACCCCACTCCCATGTTGGGGAACAAAGCAATAAATTACAAGGCCCCTCCCCAGCCCCCTTAGCCTGCTCCTGCTTCATCCTTTCTCCCTCCCAAGATATTAGGGGAAGGACCCAGGATCTTGGCTCCCCCTGGCCTTTTACTTTTACCCATGGGTAGGTGTAGGGGAACATCCTTATTTCCTCATGGTCCCTTTCACGGAAAGGGTTGGGGACCCCTCCACCTCCACAGGCAGCAGGGGTCCTGCCCCTCGCTGCCCTTCCCCCATTTACTGGGCAGTGAGATCAGCATTGAAGGGTCGGGGGCCCCGGTATCGGCCCCAAGTCCCAGGGCTAGCGCTCCACGTACTAACCCCTCCCTCTGGCGTGGCGTCGCCCCAGGAGCCAGCCTGGGTTTGGGCTGCTGCCGTGGATTGTTGAATGCAGGCAGGACTGGGTCTTTTTCCCGCCCCTAGAGGGCGCGGGCGGGCATGTCCAAGCGCCCTGGAACCGGTACCGCGGCAGGGACGTCCCTTTCTGCAAACACCGAGCGGGTAGACCCAGAGCAATCCGAGGGTGGAAACAGTGGAGAGGGAGCGTGTTGAGCTGGGGTGTCTCCATGCCTCATTGGGGAGAGGGAGGTGAGTTTGTGTCTTCTGGGAGGCGTGGGGGCGGTGCCCTCGTGAGGGTAGGAAGTGCTCCCGTGGGGTGGGGTGCGGATTGGAGAGGTGAGTGAGTGCATCTGTCCAGCTGTCCACCCGGTGTGTTCGTGCCCGGCCCGCATGGGGGTAGGGGTGTCTCTCCCGCTGTTGGGCAACTATACCAGCGCGAGCGGGGCGTCCGCACGGCCCACGCTGGCTGCGCTGCTCCGGCGGCGGGGGCTGGGCGTGGCAGTAATGCTGGGCGTGGTGGCCGCGCTGGGCGTGGTGGCTGTGCTGCCTCCCTCGCCTGGACACCCGTGCTGCAGAAGGATGTCGGCACACAGCTGGCTTCCAGCCTGACGGGCGTAGAACAGCGCCGTGCGGCCCTGCGCGTCGCGGGCCGCCACGTCCGCGCCATACTAGAGAGAGAAATCGCCGCGTGACCGCGCGTCCCCGAGGGGCCCACACCCACACACCGACACCACAAGAGTTCCAAGCCCACCTCCAGGGTTTCTCTGGGAACATCGGACTCTACCGCGCTAGTCGTGTTCTGAGATGGGAGTCCTCAAAGATTCCTTTACCTACTCGTCCCCCATTCACGTACCCACAGTAGCAGTTGCGTGATGACGACGTGGGCAAGCTCGGCCGCCAGGTGAAGTGGGGAACGGAGCTGTGGGTCCTCTACGCTGGTGTTGAGCGGCCCATGTCGCGCATGGGCCAGAAGCAGGAGAACATTGGCCACGTCCTGGGCCTGCACAGCGGCCCACAGCTGGCGGCCCAGCGGCTCCTCGGTCGTGCCCAGCGGCGCCAAGAACAGCAGCTGCTCATATTTGGCGCGAATCCATGACTCACGCTCCTCCCTACAGAACCAGGGAGCAATGGAAAAGGTTCTAGAAACCTCTAACTAGGACCTCTGTCCTCTACTCAGGGGATCCTTTCGGGCCCCAGCAACTGCCCGTCCCCGACGCCTCTGTTCCTTCACACCTACCGCGAAGAGTCCCGTGTGGGTTTGGCGCGGCCCCTAGTGTCGCTTTCCCACACGCTGTTAGCCGTGTCGTTGCCAATAGCCGTCAGCACCAGGGTCAGCTCCCGCGGCCAGTCATCCAAGTCGAGCGAACGCACGCGAGACAGGTGTGTGCCCAGGTTCCGGTGGATACCAGAACACTCGATACAGATGAGTGCGCCCAGGTTCAAGCTGGCCCACGTGGGGTCTGGGGACGGAGTGCGGGGGTCGGTTTCCGGTTTTACCGACTACACCTACAGCGAACCATACTCCCTAGCCAGAGACACCACCTCCAAGGACCCTCTGCTGCCCCTTTGCACTCACTGGGGGCCCCGCAGTCGACGCAGATAGAGTTTCCTTTGGCGTTCCGGATCGCCTGGATGGCCACGGCTTCACTTTGGCTGTCTGTGCGCAGCTGCAGAGAGGGCTAGGATTACTATTGACTCTTAAAGAAACTCCCCTCTCCTCCCTCTGTCTTCTCACCCCTCTCTCCTCTCATCCCCTCAACCATTACCTTGACCTTGCTGCTCTCACAGCACTGCAGACTGGCTAAAATCTGACTCTCGATGGCCTGGACCCAGGAGTCCCTCTCCTCAAAGCTGGCTGCCTCAAAGTGCCACGTCTGACCAGTGCTGGATACGATCAGGAACTCAAAGTTTTCCTCTGGGTGGGGGATGGGATGGTGGCATAAGGGACAGAGTTCAAGCAGGAGCTGCCTTCTCAGACCCTTCCTCCCTGATGTCCATCCCGAGCCCCTGGGAGTGGGGCAGTGGGGGAAGGGGAAGCAGAGGGTCAGGGAGAGCAGGAAGCCCGAGCACATGCAGGGAGAGGCAGGGGTACCCCCACCCCTCTGCACCCCAGCTGAGCGCCCCTCCAGGCTCCCGCTTGTTACCTGCTTTATAAATATTTCTTAAACTACCAAAGGATTTTAGTTTCCACATTTTGCGCTTGGCTGGTTTCCCGAAGCGAAGGAGATAGAGATAGAATGGAGAGCAGAACAGAAAGACCAAGAAAAGAGAGGCAGATATAGAGATGGAGAGAGTGACAGAGTGCCAGAGACAAAGCAGGACAGACAGATGGGGAGAGAAAGCAGAACTAAAGTCAGTGGCCCCAGAGCAGAGTGGAGCAGAAGCCAAGAGCCATGAGAGTAGGCAGATCTGGAACCCGGGTCTGAGCACCCGGCAGAAAGCAGGGGCAGTAGGGACAGTTATCATGATCAGAGAGGAGCCTGGGGTCTCTGCAGGAGGAGGGAGGGTCAGGATCTGAGTGAACATGGGGGAGGGAACAGAAGCTGGGACACAGGCTGGAATGAGAGGTCCCTGGGACCTAGGAATCACTGATGCCTGGGGTGGGTTACTGGGGGACAGGAATGGTATTGCTGTGGACAGGTTTGTTGAGGGAGCCTGGTGATCACTTAAAGTTATTGAAGCAGGGGTTGGGTGGCCCGAGTCCAGGAGTTGGGGAGTCAATGGGGACACTGAGATCAGGGGCTGAGTCATTAGGGTTGGGGGTACAGGGGATGGGGTCATAAGTAGAGATGAGGATAGGAACAGGCACTAGAGAGTCATTAGGAGGGGGAGCAGGCGCTTCAGACTTATAATGTCATTGAGAACAGGGGCTGGAGATTACTGGGGGAAAGGCACTGGCTGAGGAACAGGGGAAGGATGGGCTGAGAAAAGTCCATCCATTATTCCACTCATTTATGTGCAGTGGTAATGAGAGTCAAGCACTCAGCTCAGGCACTTTTCCTCCTGCTGCAGGAACTAGGCCAGGGATCTGCTGTTGGGGATGAGGGTCCAGCGTGGGAATGGAATGGCCAACCAGAGCCTCACCTTCAGCCTGCACAGCCGAGCCTTCGGTCTTGGATGGTGTTGTCAGTTTTTTTCTCCTCTGTTTCTTCACCATGGGAGAAGGAGGGGGTTCCCGACTCAGGGGGCTCAGGTCTCCAGATGGGGTACAGTCTTAGGGAGGGGGACACAGCTACCTCAGTTGCCCCTCCACAAATTTCCTGCTTTTGGGGGGGGTTACTGGAGATTGAACTTAGGACCTTGAGGATGCTTAGGTAAACACTCTACCACTGAGCTCTAGCCCCTGCCCAGATTTCCTGATTTCTTTTCTTTTTTGGTACCAGGGATTGAACCCAGGGTCACTTAACCACTGAGCTACATCCCCAGACCTTTTTATTTTATTTTATTTTTTAAATTTTATGACAGGCTTTTGCTAGGTTGCTTACAGCCTTGCTAAGTTGCTGAGGTTGACTTAGAACCTACAATCCTCCTGCCTTAGCCTCCAGAGCTGCTGGGATTATAGGCATGTGCCACCACACCCTCTTCTTCCTCTTTTTAAATTTTATTTTATTTTATTTTTTATTTTTTTTGGTGGTACTGGGGATTGAACCCAGGACCTCCCACATAATAGGCAAGTTACTCTTCCATTGAGCTTATTCCCACCCCTGATTTCTTGATAGCCTGTCTTCTCCTCTGAACTAGCTTTGGCATGTTGGGGTGTCCTTCCTCAAATGTCCCTCTCCAGGAGAAGCCCCCTGGATCATTCCTGGGGAGATGGACATGTTTAGAGTCAGATATGAACTGAGATCCTCACTCTGCCACTTATTGGCCTTGAGACCTTGAGTAAATTACTTAATCTTGTAAGTCTCAATTTCTTCATCACTAAAACGTGGAGAGTAATCTTGACCTGATAAAGTTGTTGTGAGGATCATTTATTACAATGTTTTATACATACATATGTAGATATTATTTTTTATTTTCAGACATTCTAAATGTTGATGCTGGACAATGTTCTCAGTTTGTTTAAGTCTCAAGCCCATGAGGTAGAAACTAGTATCTCCATTTTAACAATGAGGAAATTTAGACATGGAGAGTTTGAATAATTTGCCCATGTGATAAGTCAGGATATGGGTTCTGGCAGTTTGGCTCTAGAGCCCATGTGTCTTAACCATCATGATAGACACAGTGTGGCTGTTTGGTGCTGGGCACCCAGCAGACACTCCATGTGTCCACTTGTGCATTTATTCCAAATCCAGGCCTCTAACCCCACTGTACTTCCCATCTACATCCTATTTGGCTCTGAAAGATAGTGGATGAAGGGTGATCCCACTGACCAGTGCTGAGGGCTCGGGCCAAATTCCGATCTGGTTTCAGCAGGTGCCTGGTGCTCTGGTCTGGTGGTGGCTGCAGGGAACTGGGGCTGGGGCTGGGGCTGGGCATGGGAGTCGTGGCTTCTGTTGGAAGGAAAAGAGGATAAAATGTCAGTGAACTTCTATGTTCCTGTACCCTTCCTTATTTGGTCCCTCCTGATCACCTACTTTCCCACTTATCCAGGGTCAGCCCCTATTCCCCTCTTATCCCTCTCTTTTATCCATCTCTGGATCCTCTCCTTCCCCCTTGTCATGAGCCCCACTCACCAGGGCCTTCACCCATCTGGACAGTGCTCATGTCTTTGACCAGCCCGTTGATGCTGGCTGAGGGACCAAAAGCAGATATGGCCCTTGGAGGCCGCTTTCCTGGGACTTTGACTGTTGTTCGTAGCAAGTCCATCTCCTTGCCATGGGTACTGTGGATATAATCCTGGAGGGGTACAGAAAGTTGAGAGTGTGGAGAAGGTTAGGATCCTTGATGGTTCTAGGAAGCAGTCAATAGTATGGGATGGAAAGGGGGCCCCAGGCACTGACAGGACTGGAATGAACTTCTAAGAGAGGAGCCCATCAGACTTGTTCCAGAATTATTTCCTCCATAAAGCATTGTCTGAGTGGCAGACCAGGAACAGGCCCTTCCTAAGTGTTCTCTCTCTAGACTGCCAGCATGGGCAGACAGCAGGTTCTTAACATGCTTCCTAAACTTAAAAGAATAGAACTAGATCTCCCCAGAGATTATGTTAGTGCTTATCAGAAACACAGACAGGTAGAGCTGGAAGGGTATTCCGAGGCTGGCCAGGATGCCCAGTCTCTGCTACTCACATTAATGCTGGGGTGGTAGAGTAGGAAGCCATTACTGGACAGAGTCACATATTTCTTCTTCCATTCTTTGTTCAAGGAATTGCCACTTCGCTTTAGTAGGAAGCTCTGGAGTACAGAAAAAGGGGTGTGAAAGAAAAGCCAGCTAACACCAACTAACTCCCTGCCTTCCCCCAATCCCTAGACTACACACTTGTTTGATAGGGATGGCTCGTCCACTTCCGGTTGTCTCTCCCCGACTGTCCAAGCTCCTCTTTTCAGAGTCACTACCCCGACGATTCTGGAATGATTATTGGAATCAGAGGATTGATAGAGAGATACACTGGTGGAAGGACAGGGAAGACAAATAAAGAAGGGTCCAACAGAGGGGTCTAAGGACGAGGAAAGATGTGCAAGTAACAGAGGACAGGAGAATAAGGAGTCAGTATGCCCAATACCGCAAAAAGACTGGTCCTGCGCTTGGCTGCCCGGTGCAAGGACCCTGGAGTGCTCAATCCAGCCACTGCAGCTGCCTCAGCTCGAAGCTCCCGGTGACCAACATTGGGTGAGGATGGTAGAGAGGAAGAGTAGTCGCTAGTGTGGCCTCCATTACTAGCCTGAGGACATATGGAGGGGTCAGCAGAGCTGAGCTATTTCCTCCCCCAGACAAGCTACTCTTACATCCGATTCTGGGGAACTGGAGACATTACTTGATTTTCTCACTCTTCATTTACATTATAATTAATAGTAAAAATATATACTAGCATTGTTACTGTGCTTTAAGTTTTGCAAAGGTTGACTTCACAAGTATCATGCCATACAATTTTCTAGATAATCTTGGGAAGTGAGGCGACTTGCTCAAGGACAAATGGTGACTCAAACTTGGTTGATTTCCTCAAATGCACTTTCTACACTTAGTATCACCACCATTCCCTCTTTTTTCTCCTGCTCCCCAAACCTCTTTGGTATTCTGTGTCTATCTTCAGATCCCAGCCCCTTTTCTGTTGTCCCTCAAACCCCAACTCACCTGCCCAGCTACAGGGGTGGAAGCAGCTGAGTGACTTGGGGAGCTGGGCAGGGACTTGCAGGCAGCCAGAAGCTGTTGCTGTTTGCGCAAGGTCACCACTTTCTGGGCCACTTGAAGGAACGAGTGAGGGAGAGGAATGAGCACAGCAGATACACAAGACCACCCTTCCATGTCCAGCTTTGAGAAATCCCCAGCAGATAACATAGGCTCCAACTTCCTTGTCACTGTGGCCTATGCCCCCTGTAGCCTTGCCAGTTCCTGAGCCCAGAAAGATCTTGTGCTATAAAGCAAAACTTCTCTGGTCTCCCTGGTCTCTCTCCCTTCCACAGAAGCTAATTTCCTTTGTCATTGGCTGACAAAGAGGCCTGGATTCCAGTCCTCTAGAATATCCCAGGCTCTCAGCTCCCTGCTTCCTGCATACACTGGGGATAGCCACACTCACCCTCCTGGAAGACCCGATCCACATTCAGCCCATAGGTTGCACAAGTCTCATAGTAGCTGCAGCGTTTCATTTCTGCACACAGAGCCCTGGCACGAGCATCACCAACCACCCGAGGAGAGGAAGCACTGATCCTGTCTGAGGGAATAGGAAAGGGGCAGGATATGATGAGGGGCCCCTTCCCCCCACTATTCATGATTCTCTTTATCTATGCTCCAGGCTTATGCTGAACCCACTGAAGGCAGAGTATCAAAGAGCATCTGTCCTTGCTCAAATAGAATGGCAGTATGTAAGTTCTGAGTGTAGGGCCCAGGTCATATGCGCAGCTGCAAGTAAGAAGGCAAGGCATAAGCAGTTCAAAAAATACTCCAGAGGAGAGTGGAGCTATCCTGACAGGGTAGCTTCCTGACCCCATCTGAAGTGGCTGAAACTTGTGAGTGATAATTACCCTGCCCTGGAAATCTATGGAACCATGATCCGAGAGATCACATGGCAGTGCAGATGAGGAAAAGGTTGTATGCCCATCAGTAACAGGTGCACTGCTCATTCTATAGTGAGAAACCAAGAGGAAAGCAACAGGTGGAGGCTGGCACCTGCAGCACAGGCATCCAGACAGAGAGCCTGCCAGGTAGATACAGGTGGGTACTGGCAAAGCTTTTCCTGTCCCAGTGAAGTTTGAGAGCCTGAGTCACTACTTTGAGAACTAAAAGGGGTTTTCTGCCCTTCTGTTTTCTCCAGGTGCTTTCTCTTTGTTTTCAGATAAGTTCCTTCAAAAGGTGCCAGCCTGACCCATCTGTAGCAAGGCGGAAATGGAAAAGGCTTTGTATCTATCCTACTTGGGATTCTCTATGTGCTTTGGTGGTGGCATTGGGAAATGGCAGTGTGAGAACACAAGGTAGGTGACATCTCAGGAAAGGAACAGAGATGGCCATTATGGCTGCCTTTTCCACCCTGGCAGTCCCCTTTTCTCTGCTCAAATGTTGGAAAGTTTGTGATGCTTTCATGACTTCCTTATTGAAAGATCAGGCTCCCTCCAGAGGTTTACTGAAATTCAAGTAGCCATTTCTACACCTTACTGAACTCAACTGCACTGGGCAATATCCTAGGGGCATCCCAAGACCTCCCCTGAAAGCACTATCTCTTCAACCCCTCCTTACCTTGTGTCCCCACCAGTGCCAGGGCCAGGCCTCCTCGTCCCTCCCCCCGAAGGGAGCTCAGCTGCCCGTGAAGACGGCTCACAGCTTGGAAACTGTTCTCATCCTCCAGGCTGAAGACGAAGATCACGGCGTCTGCCCAGCCTGAGAACTTGCGGGGGTGAAGTGGCAAATGGAGGGTCATACAGGTCCACTACCTCTCTGGACTACCCAGAGGGAGACCTAGGAAACCAGAGTCCTCTCCCGTATTCAGTGCTGTCCTCAATCAATCTACCCTCCCCACTGCTTCTGCCCCTCACCTTGGCATCAGGTGCCCCAGCTTCCTCTCGTATCAGCACCAGATGAGTCTGTCCATCCACCAACATCTCTTTCTTGTACTGCTCACCTGTCCAGAAGAGTTGAAAGGATTAATAGGTCAGAGGTAGCCAGGTCATCAAACCTTTCCAGTTGCTTGTACTTTAGCTACTATGGCTTCACCATTCCCATGGTCTTCACAACTACCCAGACATTGATTTTACTCCTGAATCCCCACGCCAATCCTTAGCTTACTCTTGCTCCTGAGAACTCACTCTCAGTCTTCTCCAGCACCTGGTAAGAACCAGTCAGGAATCGGTGGATGAGCGATGACTTTCCACTCCTGGCATCACCCAGTACACCCTGAAAGCAAGGTTGTGAGGCAGAGACAATGGGAATTATGAGGGGGGAAATGCTTGGGTCTATACACGCCAGAGACTCCCAAGGGGCTGGCAGTGTTAAATCACCCAAGTAGGTCCTAGAGGTCCTGCACAACTGTCAGTTAAGAGAGAGCAGTTGTGAGAAGTATGGCTTAAGTAGGGTAAGAAATAAACTCAAGCTTGAAGTGCATCACTGAAAAACATAAGCAGCACAGTGCCAGTTCTTTTGTGTTGTTTAGGAAACATTAGACCTGTGTGTGCATGGCATGTCACAGGCCTAGACACTAGTTGGAAAGTAGTACCCAATTCTAGGCAATGGTACATGAATGGTACAAAGGGCAGATGTCAGAAATGAGAAGCCTGGAAGAGGGCCCTGGACAAACAGGGAAACAAGAGCATAAAAAATGAAGAAAAAGTTGTGAGGGTGTATCAAGCCCCACAATAGTGCAATGAAGGTAGACTCCCAGGAGAGTTGGAAAACCATTCCAGGTCCTATGAGGCGGCCTAGGGCCTGGGTTACCTACCAGGCGCAGTTCAGGAATGGAGCGGCTCAAAGTCCATTCCTGGCTATTGACCACAGCCTCTGTAAGGAAAGAGGGGCAGTAAGAGGGGAGGCTGCTGCCCAGGAGGACTCCAAACCCTCATCAACCCCTCCTCTCTTTGAGTGTCCCTTAATACCCAGGACCCTGCCTGCCTGCTCTGGAGAGGTTTGTGCAACAGATAGGTCTGAGAGTGGTCCCCAGTCCTCCCATCCTAACCGCTCTCCCCACAGCTGTTGCCACCGCTCAGTGGTTGCTTAGCAACAGAGCTAGCAAGACAAAAATACTTCAGTTGGCATCTCCCTTAAAGCACAACCCTAAACGGTGGGTCCCTGCCCCAGACCAGGAGACAAGGCTCTCACGGTGGCAACTTCTTCCCTCTGGAAGAAAGAGGAGGGGCTCCTCCCTGACGGAAAGATTCCCAGGACCGATCCTGGGAGGAGGTTCTGGCACTTAGAAGGGAGTGAGTCTTCCTCAATCTCTATTTCACATAGAGAAACTGAGGTGAGGGCTTTCCCTCCCCCTTTTCAAGGTCAATCGCACAGTGGCTCTGACCCCCCCCACACACACACACACACTCCAAGGGATAGGGCTTGGATTTTCCTATACCTCCCTCTCCCACGGCTTCCCTCGAAACACCCTCTAAAAGAACTATGGGGAAAGGATCCATCCCCTGACCTAGAGAAACCACAGACCTAGGGTGGGGTGGGGGGAAGGATGCTCCTTCCGCCCCGCCAGGTCCAGCCCCCGCGCCTGACACTGGCCGGACGTTCCCAGGGCGCCACAGCTGCCGCGGGAACTCTGGGATCCGGAGCCATCTGCTCCCACCCGCTCCGGAGCCAAACCCCAGGGGCCGCCCCCGCTTCCAGACCCGCCTCCCCTCAGGGGAGTGTGAGCTTGTGAGCCGAACTCAGTCCCCTGCCTGTTTACCTCAGTTAAAAATAATAATAATAAAGACACCCCTGGGTGGCACTACCTTCCCCTGTACGGCCTCCCAATTCTCCTGGTGTAAGAATTGCCTTTGCAACAGTTCCGCCCCCCACCCCACTCACTCCGGGGTCAGCCCCGGGCGGGTTTCGACGCTGCTGTGGAGCGGGGGTGGGCAGTGGGGGAAGTGAGGCTTCCTATCCGCGTTCTCTCACTTCACGTTTGAATATTCAGCACGTTCCAGCCCCCGCGCACTTGCGGACCGCCCAGTCCGCCTTTCCTGCACGGAAAACACCACTAGCCTGCTCTCAACCTAGAAGACCTGTTCCTGGCGAGGAGCTGTCTGCAAGGTCACTATCATGCCACCTGCCCTAAGTGCTCAGGGAAAACTGAGGTTTTCTCATCCCCTTCACCTTCAGTGCCCCTCTAGACAAGGCAAAGCACGTTTCTGCGCTCCCAGAATCCAGCGGAGGATGAAAGTGGGATCTGGGACTTCTCTGGTAGCAATTTCCTACAGTCACTCTGACCAAGGGCATTCCCCCCCACACCACCACCACCACCAAAAAAAAAAAAAAAAAAAAAAAAAAAAAAAAAAAACTCTGAGGCTCTCTGAATCCCTCCAAAATCAAGTCATCACTCACGGTGCACAGTGTAACTGCTCCTCCCGCGTCAGGGACCTCTTATTTGCCTCAGTCCTTAGCAGAGGAGTGAGCCTGGTTCCCCGTCCACCCAAGGGAAAAGCTTTCCTAGTTTTCTGCTCCTCCACCCCCAATTGAGCATTCCAGGTGCCCTCCCCTCCTTGTTCTCAGGCTCTGATCCTACTCACTGGGGGAGGCGCGGAGATCAGCACCCAGCAGCTCCCTGGACCCGCTGCCAGAAGACAGGCCCACGGGACCTGGAAGGGGCCCTGAGCCAGGAGGCCCCCCTGTACTCTTGGTGAAGATACCGCTGATAAACTTGAGCATCTTGCGGTCGCGAGTGGATGCTCGGCCCCCCTCCCGGCCCCGTTTCAGCCCCGGAGCTGGAGGCTCCAGAGTGATTGGAGGTGCTGGCCCGGGGGGCTGCGCGGAGGTGGCGGTAACTGCAGCGCCAGAAGCCGGGATTGCTGGGATGGTTAGAGGAGGAGGAGAGCCGGCAGGCGGTCCTGGGTGCAAGTCACTGTTGTCCAAGGTCTTACTCTTGCCTTTTCGAGGGGACAGCTTCCCTCGGACTCCAGCCCCAACCACGACCCCACCAGAGGTCGCGGCTGCAGCGCCCCCTCCCCCGCCGGTGGCAGCAGCGGCCGCGGCTGAAGCTCCAGTCCCGGCGCTGCTCTTTGGCCCCTTGACCCTGGGCTTGCCTTCGCTTTCGGGCCATGACAGGCGGCTACCGGCGCCCTTGCCCCCGCCGGCTTTGGCTCCACTCGTGGTCACGGTCTTGCAAGGCTTGGGAGCCGGCGGAGGAGGCGCCACCTTGAGCCTCCGGCTGCCTGTGCCAGGATGAGGGGAGGACGAACCGGGGACGCCGCCGACTGGCCGACCTTCGGGTTCCGGGCCCCCCCAGCTCGGGCTGCTGAGTAGAGGGCGTCGGGAGGAGGTGGGGGCGCCCCCGGGTTTGGGGTCGGGGCTCAGTCCCCCGGAGAGCTGGGGTCCCGGAGGGGCCGCCCAGAGGGAGAGTCGGCGGCCCGGAGCGGGGGAGACCGGGCGAGCCGGACTGGCCGGAGCCGGGGACAGGGCTGGGGGCTCCGCACCCCCCGCTCCCGCGCTGCTAGTACTGATCCACAGCGCATCCTGTCGGTGGAAAAGACGCTCGTGCCGCTTCTTGCCCGGCTCCTCCGCGCCTCGGGGGCTGCCAGGATCCCCGGTTTCGGAGCCTCTGGCCCCAGGGGCGCCGGCCGCGATAGCAGACGGAGAAGGCGGCGGCGGAGGAACCGACTCGAGCTTGACCAGGGTCAGCGAGATGAGGTAGGTCGTTGTCCGGCGCTGAAGCGCGCCCGCGCCCCGGCTCATGGGGCCCGGAGACCCCCGAGCTGGGGAGGGGAGGGGACTCCCCCGGACTGCCTCAGGGGGGCCCGGCCATGGGGCCGCCCTGCTCGCTGCCCCCAGCCCCCGGACCCCGCTGAGCCCACAGTCCGGCTCCGCTGTCGCCGCCGCCTCCGCCGCCTCCGCTTGCGCCCCCCTCCCATCACATGGGGCTCCCCCTCCCCATGCTCCCCACCCTGCGCCCCCACCCCCGTAGAGCCCCGGGACCTTGGTGATGCTCCGGGGAGGCGCGCCGGACCCTGCACCCCGGCCTGGGTGGGGGCGCTGAGATGGGCGGAGGAGGGCGGGGAGGACAGTAGTGGGGGCAAATGAGGGAGAGGGAGGAAAAGGGGACCGAAGGCTAGGAGAGAAGAACCAATGCGGGGGAGGCAAGGGAATGGAATGGGGACTGAAGGGCCAGGGGCCAGGGATGCGGTGTGAGAGGGGGTCTTGAGGAGGGTGGAAAGCTAGTGGGGCTTGCGGTGCTGGGGATTCGCAGGGGCGCGGGGAGGATGCTGGGGATGGAGATGTAGGAGGCGGCGGGGGTGGAAGGAGGGGACAGGAGGGGGTGGGAACCCACGGATCTGGGGTCTGGGAGGGAAGGGGCGTGAGATCCCGGTGAAGAGTCCGGGGGGCCTTGCCCGGGCTCGGCTGGGTCCGGATGCGCGCTGTGTCCGGGCGCTCCCCTCACATTGAGGAGGAGGCGGCCCCCGGGCCCCCCCTACCCCTTCCCCCCCACCACCTCTCTAGCAGCACCGCTGTCTGCGAGGGCGGTGCAAAATCCAGGACTGGATTTCCCTCCCAAATCCTGGGCTGGATTTCCTGGGACTTGGACTCATATCCAACAACCTAGCCCCCTCCTCTTGAACACCGAGGCTGGTGAGCAACACTGTGGGGTGTGGCACTTAGGGACAGGGGTAAATATAGACTTATTGAATGGGCAGATGCCAGGAACATAGCAAACTTGGGGTCGCTGAAAATTCTGGGGAAGCTGAAGTGGGAAAGTGGGGAACCCTGAAATCCCTTTCCCGGGACCCTCCCAGGGGACCAGATGCTTTTCCTTTCTCATTCACCCAGCTCCCTCTCCACCTATACCCCTACATTTAATTCTTTGACGGGTTCCAACTTGATTTGATGGCCCCAAAGTGAACTTGGAAAGTGTTCCCTAGGGATGGGGACAAACATGGGACTTAGCAGGATAAGAAAAGGGGTGTGTGTGTGTGTGTGTGTGTGTGAGTAGTGGAGAGATCTGAGGGCTCAGGAGCCTAAGCTGCCCAGTGAGTCAAAGGCCCCAGCTCAAGGTGAAACAAGAAGAAATACATGTAGAACTGACAGCCCCCCCTAATACCAAAATGCATCCAGTCTCCATAGCAACCGCAGCTCCAAGAGTGCCTCAGAAACGTGGGGATGAGAGGGAGAGGAGGGATCAGTGTGTAGAGTAGGTGGGGGACCTGACAGGGGATGCTGGGTTAGTGAAGGTACTACCCTCACCCCTGGTTACCCACCTGTGGGGGATTTTGCTCCTAGAATATAAAGACCCCTTAGTTGAAGCAGCAAGAGCCAGCCTCTTCTGGGTTTCCATTCAGTCTCCTGAGGTTTATGGGGCAGGGCTCTTTCAGAAGGTTAAAGAGGAAGTAGGCAGAGCAAACTGGACATCATTTACTGTGTCCCCCACCCTTCTAGAAGCCTTGGAGTTCAAAGCTTTCTGTCCTCTAGCCCCAGAGAAAAAGAAGCATGAGCAATTAGGCCTATGAGGAAGATAGGCTGAGACCCCAGGAGTGGCAGGAGTGGGCTGGGAAGGAGGAGGTCTCCCTGCAGCCTTTTGGAGACCCCCTCCTAAGGATTTGGAGAGTCTAAGCGGTCCCTTAATTTGGCATCCCACCCTCCTGACGCAGAGACTATATTAAGTGCTGCCGTGGGCGGCTCTTGGAGGCAGGAGCCCAAGGCACACTCGGTCTGGGGGGGCTGAACCAGGATGCCAGGAGCCCTTTGCTCTTCAAGAGGCCTGTATCCAGTCCCTCCCAGGTCCTGTCCTGGAGGTCAACAGCTTCTTCCCCACACCCTGTAGAACCATGACACCACCATCCCCATTTCAGGAGACCCTTCACTGGTCTTTTTTGAAGGAGAAGGTGAAGAACAATGATTGGCTCTGCCTTTATCTTCCTTCTTTTGATGGCCTCAGTTTTCCTTGAGGATTCAATAGTAACAGATTTCTGACTCGGGGAAGGAGTAGAACAAATCACTTATATAGAATACAGCCTTGAGCTAGGGGTCTCAGTGGTAGAGCAGTTGCCTGCTTGAGGCCCTTGGTTCTATCACCAGTAAAAACACACACACACACACACACACACACACACACACAGAGTCTCATCAGCCTCTACCTTCCTTTCTCTCTCCTTTTCCAGAGCTAAAGGGAGCTTCTTTACCTGGCCTACACCTCTCTCCTCCTTTGTTTTTTTTTTTAAAGGATATTTTCATTGCATGCTTTCCACGGACACTCCCCACCCCAAGTGCTGGGGATCAAACCCAAAGCCTTGTGTATGCAAGGCAAGCATTTGACCACTGAACTATAACATCAGAGCCCCCCTTTTAAAGTCAGGGGACCTTAAGAGTTCTTTCCTAGGAGGCCCCATGTGCCACTCCCCTGAGGTCTGCCTTTCCAAATGCAAAGGCTGTCAGGGGAAAAGTCAGGTGTAGTTACTATCAAAGGGTGGGGACAGAAGCTGAGAGGAGCACTAGCCTCAGAAGGACAATGGAAAGAGGGAGACATGGGAAGGGAATCATACCGTCCTACTAGGAACCCAAACCAACCATTTCTTCCCCCATGCTCTGGTGGCCCATCAGAGAGATGTGGCAGAAGCTATCCATGGTGGAAAGAATGTTCTCTTGAGTCCCTAAGTAGCATCTAGGAATGGAGAGGACTAGCTAGGTGTGGTGGTGCAAGCCTGCAACCGCAGGGACTCAGGAGACTGAGGCAGGAGGATCAAAAGTTAAAGGGCAAGCCTGAGCAAGTTAAGGAGGCTCTAAGCAAATTAGCCAAACCATGTGTCAAAATGAAAAAGGACTGGGGATGTAGTTCAGTGGTAGAATGTTTGTCTAACATGTGAGAGACCCTGGGTTCAATCTCCCCATTACTGGGGGTGGGAGTGGGAAAAGGAGGAGGAGGAGAAGAAGAGGAAGAAAAAAAAAAGAATGGAGGGCTGGGAATATAGCTCAGTTGGCAGAGTGCTTGCCTTGCATGCACAAGGGCCTGGGATCAGCACAAAAAAAAAAAAAAAATGGAGAAAGACTGAAGTGACTGGAAAAGATCAGGATATGATGGAAGATATGCTTCTACCAGATACCCTTCATGAGCTAGGAAGCTTCCCTCTGTGAGTTCTTTGCTACATCAGAGGTGAATGAGATGAGAACAAGCTGAAAGTGACATCCAGTTCCACCAGTTCCTTAGTGGTGAGGCCTTATGGATGGAGAGATTCTGTTCCTGCCAGGGCCCCACCACAGGATTGAAGGCTGGGGTGGGCAGGAGGATGTGGCGGATGGTGTTGCCATGGCAGCACTTCCTCCCTGTGTTGTCATCACTTGCTCTAATGGCACTAAGGAGGTAGAGCGGAAGGTATGTGGGGGGAAGACAGGAACAGGAACATGAGGAGGAGAGGGGACCAAGGAGAGTCATAGGGACCCTCTCTTCACTTTAGCTGTGCTGAGCATGGTCTTTAAATGTGCCTGGAAGCCAGAGTGTGTGTATGTGTGTCTGTCTGTGTGTCTACAGCTGGAAAACAAGAGGTCATTTATCCTTAGTGGGTCCTGGGAATGAACACAACATCCAGTCCCAGAACCTCTTGCCCCGACTGCTTCCTGTTCTATACTCCCTAAGCAGGGAATACATCTACCATGGGTCTGTCACAGCCTGTCTTCCCCATGCTTCCCCATTGCCAAGAAGGTCAGGTCAACAGTGACCTGTATTTTGTTCTCTTGGGAGAAGGATTAGAGTTGTGGAAAAGGAAGGATGATAACCTCCCGTGTCTTTTTCAATCCTCCCCAAATGTATTCTTCCCTAGAGTCCTAGCTCTGTCCTGGGGACTAGGAAGTAGCTGATTGAGAAACAATACATGATACTGCTAGCTCTTCTATGCCCTTGCTGGTTCCCGATACATCCAAGTTGGGGGACTGATACTTCTCTTACCTCGTATGTTGTTCAGCGAGGCCTGGATGCTGTCCCGAAGATCAGGGTCACCCACTCTTTCTGCCAGCTTCCTGAGGTGGCTTAGAGCCTGCTTGGCCACCTCATGTCGTCTGACTTCTGCTCTCACTGTGGCTATAGCCAACTGCCTCTGGGCATGCATGTTGCCCAGACCTGTCTTGCCAGACTAACAGCAACCTCCGGCCCTGAAGCCCATGATTCTGTAGCCCCCAAACCTTAGAAGGCCCCTTTTGCTGTGCCCCAGAACTCCCCGCCCCTGCCTGCCCTTCCGTCTGTCGGCCTCACTTCCTGACTGGTGAGTTTCAAACCCACAGCCTGGGACAGCACTACCTCCTGCACCTCCCACTCCCTCTAGCGTTGGCTCATTAGCCCTGCCAGCCAGCCCCTGGTATGATTTCCCAGTCAGGTAGAGGGAGAACCTTAGTAAGTGTCCCAGAGCCTCCTGTGGGAGGTGGCTAATTAAGATGGGTGTCAGTTGTGGGAAAATGTGGCCAGCCAGTCTCGGGTACAAATCCAAAGTTGGGGATCTGCAAACTTGTGTTGTCTCAAACTCACACAGAAATACATACACAAGTAGTCTATTACTCATAGCCCTGAATTCTAGTGTACAGTTATACTTACCACTCTCCACACCCTTTAATGAGCCCTGAAGACTAATATCTTGTAACCCTTTAGTTATGGGGAGAATGAGTTATAAAGAATGAAAGTAACCAATAAACAGATAAAACTATCATGATGTGTGTTCAATTATTTTCATAATAATTAACGTGTATAATGTATAATAGTTAATACTTTCATATATATTGTCTTCATAACAGGCCCAAAGGGAAGGATTATTTATCTTTATTATATAGAAAAGGAAACTAAGGCTCAGAGAGGCCAGAAACAGGTGAGCTTTTCAACAAAGATATGGTCTTCTGATTACAATTTTAATGACCTTTTCATCACACACACACAACACCAAGATGCCTGCCAGACAGTTTCCCTTCTCCCTAATATAGTCAGACCTTTAATTAGAACCTGTAAGAGAAGAGGGTGCATAAGGAACTGAAGGAGAAATGGAAGTGGAGGGTAGGATTAGGGGTAAAAGTTGGTAGGTAGTGTGACTTAGTTACTTTGTTTCAAGACTTAAACCTGCCGGCCTGCCAATTTCTCGTGTGTGTGTGTGTGTGTGTGTATGTGTGTGTAGAATGAGTTATAAAGAAGGAAAGTAACCTATAACCAGATAAAACTATTGTGTTGTGTGTTCAATTAGTTTCATAATTAACGTGTATAATGTATAATAGTTTACAATACATACATAAAATAAATATATAAATATATATATACACACACACACAAACACACACACACATAAAGTGTGTGTGGGGGGTAACCAGGTAATCCTCACAACAATCCAGAACTGTTAGAGGTGTGTTATTAAAGTAAGTGTATTGTTATGCTTTACAGATGAGGAAATGGGAACAGAGTTTAAATACCTAGCCAAAGGTTAGGAACTGGCAAAGTTGGAACCCGTGCAGTCGGACTCAGTGAGACTATATTGCTTAGGCAACATAGAATCTAAGTACACACAAATCATTCCCACTAAGACTGCTCCTTTCTCCTGGGGGAGAAAGGGATTATGTCTTTCCCCACTCCTATGAAAAGGGAGGTGTGTAGGTGTGTCAAAGCATTTATGCAATAAAAGACGGTTATTGACCAACCATTGTACCCACCTCTGAGTGATAACGTGAGAATCCTCTCATATTTATTCATATTCCGGACTCCTCCCTTTATGTCCCCGCCCCCCCTCCCCGTCCCCCCGCGCCAACACAAGCCCTGGATCAGGCTTGCAAGATGCCCAGCACACCCGTGTGTGTTCTTGTGGCTTTGTCACAAACAGGAAAGCACCAGTCGAAGGCCGCTGTTTTCCAAATTGAATTTCTTGCATATTCACACCCTGGTAATCGGGGATACCGAACAGAACTTGTGTACTAGTGTACACAAAACGTGTGAGGGTTTGCTGGGTGGTGCTATGCTCAACCCGAGGCCTGAGTGGCCTGGCCAAATAGCTCAATATTTGTCTCCTTTGGGCGTTCCCCAGTGTGACGCAATAACATGATAATGGTGTCATCATGAGGTCACCGCAAGACAAGGGGAAAGAGGCGGGGGGCGGGGGGAAAGGCTCGCCTTCGAGGGGCAGAGCCCTTTCGTCCAGCTTTCGAAACCCCTTTTCTCGCTTTTCCCCTGAGCTTCTCCAGAGCCTCCCACCCCAGATCAGCCCTCTCTCAACCCTAAGCATTGAAAGCTCAGCTTTCAATCCGGGCCTTTGAAGTTTAGGCTCCGGTGGGTATGAGACTGTCTAGAAACCCGGCCCCCAGTTATAAATTTCATCCAATGAAGAAACTAAAGGAGGGACCGGGAGGCGGGTCGGTGACGTAAAGCAGATTGATTGGCATTCAGGCCATCAACGTCCTGGATTAGCCTCGAGCTTCGCCAATCCACAGGCAGGGGTGGGACCGTGCAGGCGCAGAGAATTAGTTTGGCCGTCTTCGATTTAAAGAGACAGAAGCTGTTGGGGTCCTTGAAGACGGTCCCCTAAGACCCTCCCCCCAAGTCCTTGGGACCACTTGGGTCCCCAGAGCTGGGGAGATGGTTTGCGGAGGCTTTGCCTGCTCCAAGAATGCGCTGTGCGCTCTCAACGTGGTCTACATGGTGAGATGTTGGAAGTGGGGGAAAGCTTCGCGGGGGAAAAGCGAGTGGGGTGAACCTCTAGGGGACTTCCGGTGGGGAGAGGGGTGTACTGGGGGTTCCGGGAAGATTCCCAGGAACTTCCGGCGAGGAGGGGATTCCTGGGGATTTCCGTGGAAGAGGAGAGACTTCCGGTGATCAGGGGTCTTGTCTGAGGATGGGGGGTAAGAAGTGAAGGCTGTGGGTATAAAGTCCCATCCCTCACTTCGTGAACCGGTCTCTTTCCAAAACAACTGGTAGACAGCGCTAAGGATTCAATGTGTATATTATTTCCCTTGTCTCCCTATCCCAGCCATTCTGACCTACTTTGGAAAGAGAACCCAGGAAAGCTGTTTCTGTAGCATCCGTTCCCCCACCCCCCACCATTCAGGCACCTGGATTGTCCAGTTTTTGCCAGATTCCCTTTGTGATAGCCTTTGACTGTGCTGTATGCCAGAATTCTTTTGAGATGTATCCTGCTTTCTGTTTCTTATAGCTGGTGGGCTTGTTGCTCATTGGAGTGGCTGCTTGGGGCAAGGGCCTGGGTCTGGTGTCCAGCATCCACATCATTGGAGGAGTCATTGCTGTGGGAGTCTTCCTTCTCCTAATTGCAGTTGCAGGACTAGTGGGTGCTGTCAACCACCACCAAGTCCTGCTATTCTTTGTATCCTGGTGTGAAATGATAGGGACACCTGGGCTCTTGTCTAGGAATAAGTTAGAAAGGGTATGGGACTCTGATTGTAGGGACATGTCTCTTTGACCTTCCCTGTATCATAGTCTGCAAAACAGCAAAAGCTGATGTTTCAACTTGACATGATTGTGTAATTTCTATGAACATATGAGACCAGATGGTTATTTAAAATGGAACATAAAAGAATCTGGTTACTGGGGCTGGAGATGTATCTCAGTGGTAGAATGCTTACCTAGCACATGTGAGGCACAGGGTTCGATCCTCAGCACCACAGTTATATAAAATAAAGGTATTGTGTCCATCTACAACTAATATATGTAAAGAAAGGTCAAATTAAAAAAAATATATCTGGTTACTTTATTCCATTAACTCTTCCTCTCAGTACATGATCATCCTTGGTTTGGTCTTCATCTTCCAGTTTGGAATTTCTTGCTCATGTTTGGCTATTAACCGAAGCAAACAGGTAAGGGGATGCCCTTTCAAGTATTTGCTTGCCTTTCCCCACCTTACCAAGTGGGATTCTGATGTAACTCCTTACTTTAAGTCTTGACTTTGCTCCCCCAAATCATCCTAGGTCCACTACTTCAGCCATGCGCTTCCTCTGAGATACATGGTTAATTCTCCATGAGGGTTATCTAGAGAACCTGACAAAGCAGACATTTATCACTGTAATTGTGACATACATTCCTTTCCAAAGGATGTTGACTTCTTTTGTTAGAACAGGGAAACTGAGACACTTGAACCAAGATCAGGATGTAGGGGAATAGGAGATAACTTCCCCTTGCTTGTATTCTCTAGACAGATGTCATCAATGCTTCTTGGTGGGTCATGAGCAACAGCACCAGGCATGAACTGGAAAGAAGTTTTGATTGCTGTGGCTTGTTCAACCTCACAACTGTGTACCAAGATGATCCTTCTTGCAATGCAGTGAGTTGGTGGATGGAGAAGCACAACAGGGAGAAAAATAGCAACCTAGATCAGGACAATGCCCACATTGGCCGATTTAATTGGAATCTCATTACCTCTTTAGCAGCTTTGTATTGGGACTGTACTGGCACAAGAGAAGATATGGATATGGATGCTGGGAATATAGCTAAGTGGGATTTTTGTTACTAGGGACTTTGCATTATCTGTAAACACATTTTGTAATCCTCAGATTTGCAAGAACAGGAGTTCCACATGCCAGATGTGTGGAGAAAAGTTTCTTAAGCATTCAGACGAAGCCCTGAAAATCCTGGGGGGTGTTGGATTATTCTTTAGCTTTACGGAGGTAATATTCTTCAGTTCCCTCATACACTTTCTCTAGTAAGTGTATCCCCCAAATTTCAAAACTAACTTGTGCTTCTCTTCCTTTGTTTCCATAGATCCTTGGCGTTTGGCTAGCAATGAGATTTCGGAATCAGAAGGACCCTCGAGCTAACCCTAGTGCCTTTCTATGAGACTAAGGACCCTTCTGACTTTTCCCTGTTTTCTCTCAGCTTTTTATTCCTCCCTTTGGGAAAATTTAGGGTCTAAAGCCCTTTTTGTTTAAGAAAAAGGAAAGGCCCTTTGCCACATTCCCTAAAACTAATTGAATGGCTAGGCTTTAAGTCCTGACATATTTTGGAACAAGAGTAAGTAAGGAGGAGGAAATACTCCCTGTTTCCCCAAGTGGATATAGACAGAGCCTGGGAGTGCATGGATGTGGGGTAGAGTCACTCACTCATAGCTTTTTCTTTTTTTTCACTCTTCTGCATGCTAGACCACCTCAACATGCTTTGGCCTGGCTCCAAGAGTAAATCAGATGCAAGACCCACTTTGAGAAAGCTTAGTGAACATAAGCCGCCTTAACCTCCAGTCAAAGAGCTCCACTGACAGCCTAGGCCCTGTGTAACTTAATGAAAGAGTCTTTATAGTTGTGCAGGGAAGTTCCTTCTTTCAAGTGGTTTTTCAAATCACCCAATGGCAAAGCCAATCAGAGTAAGAAACATTAAAAAAAAGACCATATTTCTTTGTCTTGTTTTGTTTTCCTGTATAAAAAAAGGACCCCAATATCAAGGTAGGGAAGAGGAGGAAAGATAGACCCCTTAGTGTATAGAAATGGGAGGGGGGGGCAGGAGAAGGATAAGCCTCAAAAGGAAGGGTGAGTATAAAATTTCATTAAGGCAGCAAAAAAATTCTCTGTGAAAAGTTGGAGGAGTCTTCACAGCCTCAGAGAGAAAGGCAGAGGTCGCCTTCTCAATGGCGTTTTCTCCACTCAAGTGTCCAGAAGAGGGAAAATGGCATCATCTCTTCCTTCTGTGGCAGCCACTCCAATGCTCACTCTGGATCATCTTCCTTATGTAGATAAGAGTGCTGCAGGGCTCGGAAGGCAGAGATTCGCTTGTGTGGGTTAAAAGTCAGCATTTCCTAAGGGGAGAGGCAAAGGTTAGAAAGCTATGGGGGAAAAAACCCTGCACCTCCAACATCCTGGAATGAGCTACTTCTATGCCCCTTTCTGGCCATTCACAGCAGTAATAACTGCAGCCCATCCACCAATAAGGTCTCATGAACTACAATGATCTGGGTTCTTACCTACTACATTTCTCATCCCAATCCCACCCCATGCCTGTTACTAGTACCAGCAGCAACTGAGCTCCAGACTCCTCCATCTCAGGCACCACTGACTGCACCGGGCGAGGTCCTCTTGGGGGAAAGGCTCCTCGGGGTAGAGATACATCTCGGGGCCAGTCATCCTCTGGAGGCAGCCCGATCAGGCTGTGGGGACAGAAGAAATCTGGTCAGGACCTTTTCCAGTTCCCCAGGGAAAGAGCCTGTTGCTATCTAGAGCTCAGCAGAAATAGGACTCAAAATGGGAAATTCATTTTCTCCTTGTTGGGTACTTACTCAAAGATTTTGCCCAACTGGTCAGCTTCAGAGTTTCCACAGAAGAGAGGCCTGAGGTGAAACAGATTTAAGTAGTGATCATTTTCAAAGAAAGTAGTGGAATGACTAGTGTTAAGCGGTTCAAAACGAACAGTGATAGTAAATTACTAACTCCGGGAAATTTCAGTGTCTCTGGTTAAAGATAAAGGTGGTCAGTAATACTCAAGTAAAACAAAGGGCAGAGTGAACTGGGGACATAGCTTAGTGGCAGAATGCTTGCCAAGCACACACTAGGCACTAGTTTTGATCCCCAGCACTAAGGGGATCAATGGGCATGGGGGGGAATATGGGAATGGTATATATAGATAATGGCTGATGAATAAAAAGTTTGGAGAATTCGATACAGTTTAGGATTTTGGGGTTCCATACTTCCGACGAAACATCTCTGCAAAGATACAGCCAACGCTCCACATGTCCACAGGCGTTGCATATGTAGACTGCAGAAGAACTTCAGGAGCACGGTACCAGAGTGTAACAACCTAAAGGGAACAGGAGTGGGTGAGGGTGCTCCTAGTTATGAATCACAACTGTGTGACTGAAGACATGAAGCACAGAACTTCTCAAATACTATACATACTCTCTTACCACCAACCAGAACCCATTTTAGCTCCCATCTTTCTACTGACCACAGGTGTAAGGGCCATCTGGTAGCTGTATATTCTGGCCAGGCCAAAGTCAGCCAGCTTGACTGTCCCACCACTTGTCACCAGAATATTTTCTGGCTTCAGGTCCCGATGAACGATGCAATTGGCATGAAGAAAATCTAGGCCTCTTAGAAACTGGCGCATCAGATCCTGGTTTGGAAGGGGGAGGTACAGACTCACTGGAAACAGACACCATACCTGAAATTCCAAGCTCTAAACATAGATCCCAATCCATCTCTCAAGATCTACCCACAATACTCACCTTGATGGTCTCGGCTGGCAAGCCTGGTGGTGGTGCCTTGTCTAAATAGGTCCTTAAGTCTTGGTCAACATGCTCAAACACTAGGGTCACCTTGATTTCCCGGTCGGTCCGGGAAGTGGCACAGACATCCATCAGCCTGGCCAGAATAAATGGTCACATATTGCTCAATCCCCTTTGATCTGATAACAGTTTCCCATATTCTCTCAGGTTCCCCACTTTTTTTCTGACCACGCATCCCACTTAAAGGTTGTCTTTTCCCTTACTCCCACTCCCACCCTTCCACCTTCTTCTCACCGGACAACGTTGGGATGTTCAAAAGCCTCCAGGCGCCTCAATAAGGCCACCTCACGAACTGTGCTGATGGGAAGGCCCCCTCCAGCTCCTCCTCCATTGGGGACTCTCACACTCTTGAGGGCCACAAAGTGGCCACTGTGGGGATCACGGGCTTTGTACACCGTCCCATAGGCACCGACACCAATTTCAGCCACTGGCTCATATCGTGAGGTAGCCATTCTCAGATAAGGGGAGACCCTACAATCACAGAGACATCTACCATTAAAATTCCTTCCAGAGTTAGGATAATAGCAGCATGTAGCAGTAAAGCGATTCCCACATGAACACCATCATCAGCATCCCATCCCCTTCCCAACAGTCCAGAGGCCGCGCTCAGGTAACACAATGACTCTACCAGCAACTCCTCTGGCCACGTGAAACTGAAAGAAAAATATACGCTTTTCTCTTGGGGACCACTGTGCCGTGCACAAAGGAGATCACACATGGCACATCTAGCATCGACGATTTTACACCCCAGTCCCTAAAGTTACACCTTTCCACCAACACAAAGGCCCCACTTCCCGCCCTTGGGCGACCCTTCCAAAAGCAGCCCGCCAGGCGCACGCATCGGAAGTCTTGGGAGGCGGAGACTGGCCCCCATTCCTGAGAAGTGGCTGCATTTACCTCACTGCAGGCCAAGAGCTACGAGGGCAGGCCCGTTATCGGGACCCCGGAGCCGGTTCCTTCGGCGCCATACACTCGAGCTCCGTCCGGGGCAGCTGGACGTTACGGGCGGGACCATAGACACAGGCCGCAGGCTAGAGAGGCCCCCTCGCCCCCACCCTCACCATGTGACCAGCTGCCAAATAGGCGCGCGGAAACGGGGAGGGAGGGGCGAACGCCGGACGTTCGGGACACGTGACTGCTACCCATGCGCAGAGAGTCCGTCGGAGCCTCTTTGAGAGGGGGGCGATGAAGGAAGGGGAGTGATGAGGGAAGGGGGCCGAGGGGCGACGGTAGCCACGTGACCTGTTGCTATCACACGTGACCGCTTAACATTGCTCGGAGGAGCAGAGGTGTGGTTACGCAGCGAGACACATGACTGGCTGACAAAACCCGGTCTGTGGAGGGGGGGCGCACGGGGGCGAGGGAGGGTGGAGCCCAAGGCGGTGCCATGGCAACCTGGGCCACCCAGCTTTCAACTCCTGGCTGAAGGCCGAACCTGAGCGTTACTCCAGTCTCTTGCTTGTCTCTCAGTCTCTTCCGTATTGGTGGCCAGGTTGTGGTCCGTGTGAGGATGAGGGATCCGAGTACTAGAGGTGGTGCTGTCATCTTTTCGCTCCATCGCCATGGGAAAACAGATTCTCATTTGGGTCTTTGTTTCACTCATTCAACAAAATTTTTGTTAAGTGCTTGCTTCCAGTTTGTAGGTGGTGTTTTTGTTTTGGTTAGGTTTTGGCATCTCAGTCACTAGCTCTCCGAAGTAGTGATAAGGCTGTCTATAAAGATGCAGCCAATCGTGTGATCTTATAAAATAGAGTAGACAATTCCCATGTGAGGACCAAAGTAGGACTTAAAAAATGGACAGGAGATAATACAATAATCTAATAGGAAGAGTGACAAGGTAATTCCCTCCCCTCTTCCCAACTCCCAAACCTCCTAGGGGGTGTTAAAGCCAGAGACTAGATGTCCCTTGGCAGAGACAGTTATCGATGAGCTGAACTGGAATACTTGACCTGAAAAGTTCTTTTCGGCACTAAGATTCTGCGGTTCTGTGATGTGTGCGTTGTATACAGACAGGTAGATATAGGGGTGTGCATGTCCAAGGAAGTCATCCTCCCCACAGACCACTACGTAATATGAGAATGACTTGTGCCCCTCTGCAAATCTTATGACTACTCAGAGAGATCATTTTGCTTCCCTCTCTTCTCCCAGTGCAGCTTTCTTATCCCTTATCCCTGCCCAGAAGTAGTTGTTGTTGTTTTCAAAAGGATCCTGTCCACACACACCTAGATAGAGGAAGATTTCTCTGACTTCTCTTTAAAAAAAAAAAATTTGTAGTTGTAGATGGGCAGCATGCCTTTATTTTGTTTATTTTTATGTGGTGCTAAGGATTGAACCCAGTGCCTCACACCTGCTAAGTAAGCCCTTTGCCACTGAGCTACAGTGCCAGCCCATCTCTGACTTCTCTTGTATTATTAACTCCAACTTTATTATCTTTGAGCTCTTTGGGAGTGTGGGACTAAGGGATTACTATCCCATTTGTGGGAATTTGTCTAAAATATGGAACCATATAAAAATTATTTTTTGGTGGGCTGGGGATATAGCTCAGTGGTAGAACACTTGCCTAGCATGTGCAAGGCCTTGGGTCAATCCCCAGTACCGGCAAAAAAAAAAAAAAAAAAATTGGGGTGGTTGGTTGCTGGGGAATTGAACCCAAGGGCTTGGAATGGTAAGCATGTGCTCTACCACTGAACTGCACCCCTAGCCCTAAAGTCTGTAACTATTTTATTATCATTTGCATTCGCCACTTCTTTTATCCAAATTTGTAATTTCCCTAACTATCTGGCTAACAATGTAAGAGTTCATATAAAGAGAAATGTAAGCCATGATTCAGGGTAAAATAGGAAGACATGTTGCTATAGATTTCTTCTTGCTTTTCATTCTGATGCAGCTGGCAAGGGCACCTGGGACACTCAAAAGAAAAACCTCCACAGTAGAATTATAGGTGTTTGCCACCATAGTGAGCAGGAGGATGGAAAGTTTGAGGCTAGCCTAGCCAACTTAGACCCTGTTTCAAAAATAATAATTACACACACACACACACACACAGGACTGTGGATGTACCTAGGTAGTAATGGGTTCCTGGGTTCAAACTGCAAAAACACAAAACAACAACAAAC